ATCCACCGTCTCTTTATTTGATATCAGAGCCACACCCACCGTCTCTTTATTTGATATCAGAACAACATCCACCGTCTCTTTATTTGATATCAGAACCACATCCACCGTCTCTTTATTTGATATCAGAACAACATCCACCGTCTCTTTATTTGATATCAGAACCACATCCACCGTCTCTTTATTTGATGTCAGAACTACATCCACCGTCTCTTTATTTGATATCAGAACCACATCCACCGTCTCTTTATTTGATATCAGAACCACATCCACCATCTCTTTATTTGATATCAGAACCACACCCACCGTCTCTTTATTTGATATCAGAACCACATCCACCGTCTCTTTATTTGATATCAGAACTGCATCCACCGTCTCTCTATTTGATATCAGAACCACATCCACCGTCTCTTTATTTGATATCAGAGCCAGATTCACCGTCTCTTTATTTGATATCAGAGCTATACCACCGTCTCTTTATTTGATATCAGAGCCACACCTACCGTCTCTCTATTTGATATCAGAACCACATCCACCGTCTCTTTATTTGATATCAGAACCACATCCACCGTCTCTTTATTTGAGATCAGAACCACATCCACCGTCTCTTTATTTTGATATCAGAACCACATCCACCGTCTCTTTATTTGATATCAGAACTACATCCACCGTCTCTTTTTTGATATCAGAACCACACCCACCGTCTCTTTATTTGATATCAGAACCACATCCACAATCTCTTTATTTGATATCAGAACCACACCCACCGTCTCTTTATTTGATATCAGAACCACATCCACCGTCTCTTTATTTGATATCAGAACCACATCCATCGTCTCTTTATTTGATATCAGAACAGCATCCACCGTCTCTTTATTTGATATCAGAACCACATCCACAATCTCTTTATTTGATATCAGAACCACACCCACCGTCTCTCTATTTGATATCAGAACCACACCCACCGTCTCTTTATTTGATATCAGAGCCACATCCACCGTAACTCTATTTGATATCAGAACCACATCCACCGTCTCTATATTTGATATCAGAGCCTCATCCACCGTCTCTTTATTTGATATCAGAACCACACCCACCGTCTCTATTTGATATCAGAACCACATCCACCGTCTCTTTATTTGATCTCAGAGCCACATCCACCGTAACTCTATTTGATATCAGAACCACATCCACCGTCTCTTTATTTGATATCAGAGCCACATCCACCGTCTCTTTATTTGATATCAGAACCACATCCACCGTCTCTTTATTTGATATCAGAACCACATACACCGTCTCTTTATTTGATATCAGAACCACATCCACCGTCTCTTTATTTGATGTCAGGAACTACATCCACCGTCTCTTTTATTTGATATCAGAACCAAATCCACCGTCTCTTTATTTGATATCAGAACCACATCCACCGTCTCTTTATTTGATATCAGAACAGCATCCACCGTCTCTTTATTTGATATCAGAACCACATCCACCGTCTCTTTATTTGATATCAGGACAGCATCCACCGTCTCTTTATTTGATATCAGAACCACATCCACCGTCTCTTTATTTGATATCAGAGCAACATCCACCGTCTCTATAACTTATATGAGAACAAACTCCATCCACTCTTCATTTAATATTAGGACCGCCTTCTTTCATTTTAATCTCATATCTGAAAAGGTATATAGAGAAAACCATCACCGTCCAAAATTTAAAAAACAGCATCATCCCAAACGAGAACACTGTATCTAATATCTGGAGCAACTTGCAACCTTCTCTTCTTATAATATCAAAACTACCTTCACCTTCTGTTTTACTTTATCATTTGGAATCGTGTTTACTCCATTCTTTATCTCATACCAACCACTCACCTTTCCAAGTTTGAAATCAAATCTGTTTCCATCGCCTCTTTGTTTCACATCGAAACACTCTACTCCATCTTTACGCTGATATCACATTCAAAGCTATTTCCTTTCACTGCACATCACCCCAGGTTTTATTTTGGATACCAAGAACTATCGGCTCTCACATTAAAGGGATTGGTACAAGGTTACGTTTCCAGTATTCGGATTATGAAATACATGCATCTAACATGCGTTCGTTGGCAAAAGGTAATTCTAAATATATGTCATGCGGCTATATACTGATTCCTATCAACCACGTGATTCTCTTGACCAAATCAAATCTCAAGATAAAGATCAACGTAAGATAAACTTTCCGCAAGACAGCAATATAAAGACTGTTTGACTCGAGTTTCAGCAGTTGTTCCTGCAGGATGAAGACCTTCTCATCAGCTTAGTGGCGGCCACGGTGCTCGGGGTGGTGATGTCTCATCTTCCCTTCGACGGGACGCACACTTTAAACAGCTCATACCTCTTGCCAAGACCTGGGGCGACAAAGTTCGCCCACTTTGTTCAACGCTGAGCCAACCTGACCTGCTACACAAGGCAGCAGTGAATTCAATGCATATATATGACGGGCTTTGTTCAGAGTAGTTTCAATGTCGATGGCATATCCATGTCAGTGTCGTGGATTTACGTTTGCCTGTAAGAAGATTACACATTACTAATACAGTCTGAAATAGTGTTAGGGAAAAGCACAGATTAAGGCCAGAGGGATAAGGGATCTCCCAATTGTAAACACTCGCTCCTTACTGTAACCTCGAAGAAGATTTGTCCATGATTCTTATGGCCGAAAATACGACAAACAGAATGAGAATGCACAGAAAAGAACTTGGCATGTGGATAACAAAATTTACAAACTTGTTTTACTTTAATATCCATCTTGGTACTAAGAGGAAAAATAACTAAGTTCCAAAACCATATATACTGGAATATATTAGGCATATCGTATTTCATAAATTGTTTTAAGTCGAAGCTACATATGCAGTGCATGAGAGAAGTGGATCACCAAAGATGGTAATAGCATTCATATCTTGAGATGATTCAAAAGGTATTTTATCACAAGTCGTGCTATAAAAAATATATTCTTAACTGGTGCTTTATTATTATTATTATTATTATTACAGACAACGATTAAAGATTTGAAGATTCTTTAAAGAGATTAGATAGATGTAGTAGATCTTTGCACATGTCTTTGTTTTTATATTGCGATATATTGTAATAATTTAAGAGATATGCTTCTATACATATGCTTGATATATTGACTGAAAAGGTTTCTACCCAAAGTGCGTACATCATAAATCCATAGTAGCTCTCTGTGTACGACATCATCTTCTTAGTTGCTGTTCTTAGTTGCTGTTACAACATACTTTCAGGCCCCCCGTCACCATTGTGTATGGTTGTATGCCAATCGTTTCCGGATAGATAAAATGATATAGAGCCTTAACATGGAATGTTTGATTGAAGTATTGCAACATAATGATAAAGATAATAGTATATCATGATTTTCAGCGTCAGTGTTGTTTGCTTCAACAGAATGCACTTCAATGTAGTGTGTAATAATTGTTACTGTATGTCAGTGATTCATTCAGATTCAACTCAATATAAAATATAACTATTGCAAAATGAAAACAAACATATGATTTAGTTTAACTACTTGAGCTTAAAATCCAATAACTAAGAACCTTGACTAGAATGTCATTATACAGTCCTACAAAATTGAGACTTAGACATTTATGATAAATTGATATCATATGTCCCATTATGAAATAAACAAAAGTAAACAATTGTGAATTGTAAAATGGTCACTCAGACCCAGAGCCTCTACTTAAAAGTCCAAAGGAACAAATGGTCCATTTGAGGCCACTTAATTCCTCAAAATGAAACAATTCAAACGCACAAAACGTAAAGCATTTGGTAGAATATATGGCACTTTTGGAGCCACTTATCATGTCACTTCCACTTGTAAAATGTTACATGGAAATCAAGGGCAGATAATCCAAGGGAGCTAACTCTGGATGACCCAATATATTGCAGAATCTGAACCATATCGCGATAATATCGCGAGATACTGTACCGATATCTACCGGTTTACCGGTAGTATTGCATACCCCTAGTTTTAATAAGATATCAAACATTATTTGTAAAGGGAAACGTTTGCCATTGTTTTCTACGCTGGAATTATGCAATGGTTTACTGTAAAGGCTAGCTTCTTTGATCAAAATACGGAAATAAATGCTGATGGAATTGGTTTATCAAACATTAATAGACTAAAACGAAAGATTTTACTTACGCAGTACACATTTTCAGTAACAAGTGGTTTCTTTGTGACAGATGCCTTCAGTAGGGCAGCCGCTCTCGTAGTTATCGAACATATGTTATATTTGCCATTTAACATCGATGCAAAGCATATGCGTATGAAACTTTGCTTCTTTTGTTGAATATGAGGCTATGCCGTTACTTGTTGTTTCAGCTGGGAACTTCACCCTGTTCGTCCCAGACAACAAGGCCTTCAATGTTCTGCCAAGAAACATCACAGGAAACAAGACCCTGCTGAGACAGCTCATCCTCTTCCACTCCGTCAATGGAACTTACAACAAATCCGAGATTGATCCGAAACAAGAGAACTGAGGACGCTGTCTGGAAGATTCCTGCACTTTAACCACACCAAGACTAAGGTAAGCAAGAACGACAAATACTAAAGTGGAGATTCCAGTATTATAATCACGCTAAGACCAAGGTAAATAAGGACGTCAGATAATGTAGTGGAGATTCCTGTTCTTTAACCACACTAAAACCAAGGTAAAACAAGAACGACAGAAAATATACTGGAGATTCATGTTCTTTAACCGCACTAAGACCAAAGGTAAAACAAGGACAAGAGACGCTGACATGTGAATTCATTTACTTTAATGATATTTAGACCAAGGCAAAACAAGAATAACAGGCACTTTTTAGTAAATTTCTCTGTTTCAAAGACACAAAGACCACACTGCACTGCCTTCCATAAGACCAAGGTACACAAAACTCACTGCAGATTTCGACCTTGGCCATATTGATTTAGATCTGAGGCATTCTATTCTATCCTTTTTATCGTTAATGCAGGCAGTGTTTGTGAACGGTGTCAATATCACGGGATTCAACAAGAGAGCCTCCAACGGCTTCATCTTCCTTGTCAGCAAGGTCGTGCTAAACGGATCAGGACTGCTCAACAAAACCAACAACAAAACGTCTGGACAACTCCACCGTCAAGCATATGTCCTGTGTCGTAATGGCACATGGGGTAGAAACTGCACTCACCTTGGCAACGGTACCTATGGCAACAGCACATTTTGCCCCAACGGGACCTTTGGCGTCAACTGCACTTACTATGGCAACGGCACAATCTGCCCCAACGAAACCTTGGGTGTCAACTGCACTCGCAATGGCAACGGAACCCATGGCAACATCACATTTTGCCCCAACGGAACCTGGGGTGTTAACTGCTCTCACCATGGCAACGGCTCAATTTGCCCCAACGGGACCTTTGGCGTCAACTGCACTTACTATGGCAACGGCACAATCTGCCCCAACGGAACCTTGGGTGTCAACTGCACTATGAATGGCAACGGTACTCATGGCAATATGACGCATGGCAGTATAGCACATGTTCTACCTCAGAGCTATGGTCAGTACAGCACCTTGATTGTGGACTTGATGAAAACTGGAACCTGGAGCGAGATCGAGAGTAAGTAACATTTACTTCTTGAAGACAGAATGTCAGTCTTTGGTTTAACTTTGCCTTTGTTTCATTCGTTTTAGATTTGTTTCTAACGTGTTCATTAGTATAAGCCACGATTATACAACAATTCAGTCAATGCTTGAACTGAAACATGAACTTGCCTTTGGGGCCAAACACGTATTGGTTAACATGTCGCTTCCGTGAATACACAATGCCTATAATCTCTTCCTGTAGGACCCCAAGTGACCCTTCTTGCGCCGACCAATGCAGCGTTCAGCAGCCTCCCCTTGACGGCCTACCGAAACAACCTTGACAAGCAGGCCAATTTTCTGAAGAGTATGTACGCCTCTTTGTTTCATATTCCACAAAATATTCACATTTTACTTGACACTAACTGGGTATTTCTTTAATTTGTATTTACCTACAAAAATAGATCAGCTGTATCAAATGACCATATCACACACAGTGTTGCAAGTTTGGGTGTGTTTTTCAGGCACAATGATGTACCACATCTTGGACGGCATCCACGGCCCCGATTCTCTCTGCATCAGAACGACATGCTCACCTCTCTGGAGGGACACCGCATCCACGTCTCCATGCAGAACGGTGAGACACATATCATCAGAGACTAAATGGAGTCAGACAGAGCTAGTACACATTGAAAATGATAACCAGTACACACTGAAGACCCAATCCTGTACAATATTTGTGTCTCTGCTTTGTGTACAGGCCATGATTGTCTGGGTTAGCGGTTTCTGACTACAACATTAAGTCAACACAAATTCACCCATGTGTACAGACCTTTTTCTTGGACTTTTTGACCTGTGGGTCACACAGCATTATTTTGACCTGTCAACAATTTCATTGGACAATATATTGTGATAAGATAATCGAAATCGAGGGGAAAACAATGTTTTGCATTGGCAACTCATTTGTTTGTGAAGAAATCTAATGACAAAAGTCTGTCACAGAAATGGCTTACTATTACAGTTTTTACTAATATTACGGCTCTGCTTATTATCAAGTCTTTAGTAAAGGTCTTCACATTTGGATTCCTGGACCTATGCAGACATGTCAGGTGTATTCCTACTGGCTATGTATCAGTTAGTCATGATTCAAGTAATTCTATTTGCAAATTATTATCGCATGGCTCTCAAGAATATGCCTCGAAAAGGACTGACTGTTTCAAGACTGTGTTTAAGACTAAGTATTTCAGATGTGCTTCATTTTTCTTGGACGTCTGAAGACGTCGATATATACCAAATCATTTGAGCCTACGCGATTTAGGAAACATTCTTATAAGCTCTCTCAACATGGCTTTCTAATCCTCAACCAGTGCTGTTTGAAACGGCCTAAAACCATTTTGTTGGGAATACATTGCAGGTCACGTGCAACAGTTCAACAGGGTCAGCATCATGAACGTGATTCATGCCACCAACGGCGTCATCTACGTCCTGAACGGAGTCCTTCACCTTCCAAGCAGCCCTATTGTATTGTAAGAAGTAGAGCAGAGTAACCTGTGAAAGAGTGTAGGTGAGTTTAGTTTTACGCCGCACTCAGCAATATTCCAGCTATATGGCGGCGGTCTGTAAATAATCGAGTCTGGACCAGACAATCCAGTGATTAACAGCATGAGTATCGATCTACGCAGTTGGGATACGATGACGTGTATCAACCACCCGATCCCGTTAGTCGCCTTTTTACGACAAGCATTTGTTACTGAAGATCAGTTCTAAAACCGGATCTTCACGGGTCCCCTGTGAAGAGATGTAATGCTGCATCACGTAGAATGTTGAAATAAAATGATACTACTTCGGCCGTATGTGTTTTCCTCCAACTTATCTACCGTGTTCAAGCACTAATCGCTGTTTCTTTAACTTATATCATATATCAAACACTAAATGCGGTACCTCAACTGCCGCACATGTTCCTGCATCAAAGTCTACTTCAGTAGTTATTATATGCTCACACACACTGAATGTCCGGTACCTCAACTCTGCCACACATGTTCCTGCATCAAAGTCTACTACAGTAGTTATTACGCATGCTCACACACACTGAATGTCCGGTACCTCAACTTGCCGCACATGTTCCTGCATCAAAGTCTACTACAGTAGTTATTACGCATGCTCACACACACTGAATGTCAAGGCCATCTATGGCCGACAAGGGGTATGATGATAGCTGATGGTTTTGGAGAAAAATGCCTGCTTACTGTCGAGGAAATGATTTGTAGATGTTGCAATAAGATTTTAGACCCGTGTAATGCCGCTGCCGATCGAATATAGCCCTACATAGGTGCTGTCAACGTGGCTGGAATTAATAAACGAATTTAAAAGGTGAGTTTTCGCTGTCTTGGGTGATCAAATTTTTGGCTTGGAATTGCGAAGGTAGCCGTTTTCGGTGAGTCGTGGCGTATAACTTTTGAAATAATGATCCGATTGTGACCATTTATAGCTCATTTTGTAGGCAAAATCATCTCGCTTTCGATCCGTAGGCCTCAACGGGGCCTTAAAATAGTTTACGTGGTGAAATCTAACTTTGATCGAGGAGGGTGGTTCCGTCGTTACATCCCTTTCCTTTTTATAGTAGTAGGGTAGGGTCTATATACCTATATGTCTTCTAATGTTGTTACTAAGCGTGACACACCCTGTGGTTAAACGTAAAACTATGCTTCGTCGATGTAGATCTGTTATCTCAAGAAGAGATATGAACATTATTTTATAATGGTATGGTTTCAGTCCTGCAATACAACGTCGAGCGACAGAAAAGTAGGTTTCAAACGAGAATAAATGAAATATGAACTGGCCGTTTTGTAAGGTACAACACTGAGATGTTGTTTTATTAGGGCAGCAAACAGGAAACTCCTTTGCAATGTCGTCTTGTGGTGCTCGTGCCTCGCTAAATTTCGGTGTGAGTAACTGGAAGTACAGGTGACAGACCTGGGGAAAAGGAACACCCAAAAAGCCTAGGTTACACAAAAACAGATGCCCAGTGACTTCTATAGCAATATCATAATTTATCAAAATAAACTAAGCTAAACAGACCAACCCAGGTCTGCACAAAATGTCACCAGCTTGAAGTATCTGTGCTCAGTCAACATGTCATTATGTTAAAAAACAGCTCTAAATATCTGAAAATGTTTTCAGTTTTAATCAGTAGATGGAATTACATTAAAACACACACACACACACACACAAAATCTTAAACAAAATCATCCAATCAAAGCTGCAAGATGGTTCAGTCTGCTCTGAAACTGCTTGATAAACTACGGATTCTGATTTGGTGTAGTGAACTGTGAAGTGTGATCCAGATCATCACCTTGGTTTCTGATGACTTGGTTCTGTCCGAAGCGTATTTTAGAATTTGCAGCAGGCACGAGTATGCAGTCTGCTGGACCACTCTGCACATTGTTCACACATATGGTAATGCTCACTATACAATATCGTCCAAAGTAAAACGGGACCAAACTGAGGGCTTGAAGGTTTTAAGTGGTATCCAACTATGTATTAAGTGATATCTCCCAGAATTTAATTATTAAACATCGGAACCACACCTACCTTTTCTTTAATTAATATCATAATTACACCCACCTTCTCTATATTTAAAATCAGAACCACACACACTTTCTCCTTTATTCACAAAACATTGCCACACCCACCTTTTCTTTAACTGATATCACCCGTGAAGATCATGGTTAGAATTGATCTTCAGTAACCCTGCTTGTCGTAAGAGGCGACTGGCGGGATCAGGTTAAGTCAGGCTCGCTGACTTGGTTGACACATATCTTCGTATCCGAATTGCGTACATCGATGATCATGTTGTTGATCACTGGATTGTCTGGTCCAGAGTGACTGAGTGAGTTTAGTTTTACGCCGCACTCAGCAATATTCCAGCTATATGGCGGCGGTCTGTAAATAATCGAGTCTGGACCAGACAATCCAGTGATTAACAGCATGAGTATCGATCTACGCAGTTGGGATACGATGACATGTGTCAACCACCCGATCCCGTTAGTCGCCTTTTACGACAAGCATTTGTTACTGAAGATCAGTTCTAACCCGGATCTTCACGGGTCCCTATTGAAGAGATGTAATACTGCATCACGTAGAATGTTGAAATAAAATGATACTACTTCGGCCGTATGTGTTTTCCTCCAACTTATCTACCGTGTTCAAGCACTAATCGCTGTTTCTTTAACTTATATCATATATCCAAACACTAAATGCCCGGTACCTCAACTTGCCACACATGTTCCTGCATCAAAGTCTACTTCAGTAGTTATTACGCATGCTCACACACACACTGAATGTCCGGTACCTCAACTTGCCACACATGTTCCTGCATCAAAGTCTACTACAGTAGTTATTACGCATGCTCACACACACTGAATGTCCGGTACCTCAACTTGCCACACATGTTCCTGCATCAAAGTCTACTACAGTAGTTATTACGCATGCTCACACACACACTGAATGTCAAGGCCATCTATGGCCGACAAAGGGCGTATGATAGCTGATGGTTTTGGAGAAAATGCCTGCTTACTGTCGAGGAAATGATTTGTAGATGTTGCAATAAGATTTTAGACCCGTGTAATGCCGCTGCCGATCAGATATAGCCCTACATAGGTGCTGTCAGCGTGGCTGGAATTAATAAACGAATTTAAAAGGTGAGTTTTCGCTGTCTTGGGTGATCCAAATTTTGGCTTGGAATTGCGAAGGTAGCCGTTTTCGGTGAGTCGTGGCGTATAACTTTTGAAATAATGATCCGATTGTGACCATTTATGGCTCATTTTGTAGGCAAATCATCTCGCTTTCGATCCGTAGGCCTCAACGGGGCCTTAAAATAGGATTACGTGGTGAAATCTAACTTTGATCGAGGAGGGGGTGGTTCCGTCGTTACATCCCTTTCCTTTTTATATAGTACTAGGGTAGGGTCTATATACCTATATGTCTTCTAATGTTGTTACTAAGCGTGACACCCTGTGGTTAAACGTAAAACTATGC